TGAGGCAATGAAAGAGCCCCAATTCATAGATAAAAAAAATTATAAATACATTTTTTAGGTATAACACTTACCAAGATCTTAGATTATATCTGCACTACCTTGAAGTATGCCGTTATACCGTTAACTATATAATCAGTTGTTATCAGTTCTACGCCTACTACATGCTATACCTAGAGTCTCTACACATCAAACAGTTAAAGTCATTTGGGATTGTCTGCATGTGAACCCGGGATCTCTGAGAAAAAAGCCCCATGCTCTAGCCCTAGCCATAGACCAACTTTCTACCCTGAACTATTTAGTATCCAGAGTTACTCAGCTAATAAAAAAAATGTATAGTGGATGATTTCAACTAGGAATAAAGACCATAATAAATATTCACAAAAAATCGAAACACCCGCTAAAATTTGCCAAAAAAGTACAGTAAATATAAAGTTAAATCTATGCAGCAGTTAATCTGTGTTATTTAGAACGGCGGACGCCTGCAAACATCAGGCGATATTATGTGGTACAAAAGATCCAAGAAGTTGCGTTGCGATGTTGTAGGCTGAGGTACAGGGCCAAAAATTGAACAACTACTGACTCTGACAAATCATTGAACTATTACAGTAGTGTTATTCAATAGGTGTTTTCTCCATGTTTGATTCGTTCATTATACTTATCGTGACATAGTCCTTTTGTACAGTTCTAAGAGCAACAAACTGAAATATGGTCAGCGAGGGAATTTAAAGATGGATCCAATTGTTTACAAGTGCCAAAATCCATATATAAATCCCAAAGTACCCATGAACTTTTGAGAAAACTAAAAGTCACACCCCCATAAACCACACATTTAAAATGTTGGTCATCACGAGAAACCTTGCACAAAACTATCCATTATTTCATAAATTGCCATTTAAGGTCGTAATTCCTTTCTAAAGGGAACTTTCCGTATACATAATGCTAAAAATACCTCAGCTGTTCTTATTTGTTTTTGTTCAAATTTCAATGTATTACCTTATTAAAATCAGGCGTGATTATTTGTTTGTATTACTGTATTCTGTTTTGTTTTTTTCAGCTTAACTTAACCAATCAATGGTAAAACTTGAACTTTGAATATTTTAATACTTATGAAGTCAAACGGGGTGAAGCACGTGGGTAACAGCGTAACAGCTAGTTATTGTTAAATTCTAATTCTACCATAGTTCTTTCGTCAAATTTTCACTGTATTAAATTAAGTTACTTTCTCGTTTATCAAAGATTATTGTTATACAAAGAAAAATAAGCTATATACCTAATATAACATTGTTTAACACTAAGAGTTTCGTTAAACATCCCGATTAAAAAAAAAATATCAAATTCAAATTTATCCATATTTTGAACTTTTTATTAAAAGCGCCTTTTTTCAGATGGGATGAACGAAATCCTTGTATATCTTTATACAGTCTGTTTTATTTAGTCAGGGCGATTTTTATTTACATTTGTCATTAAAATGGAAATATTTTAGACAATGTTTCGTTAAAATATCAAACATTCCAACAGTTTCAGAAATTGATGCCAAACCTTGGTCACAAGTCACAAGTCAAAAGACAGATCTTGTAAACATGTTTTCCACTGTCGAGCTACAGAATGACAACATGGCTGTATTGTGTCCTGGGTTCAGCCAAGCGTATAAAAACTCACCACATTTAAATCATGTTGAAATAAAAAATACCCCAACGCAGCAAACCTGCTAAGCGAATTTCCATTTGACTGATATGATTTCCACTGAAATATTGCCTTATGTTATATTTATTCCCCATTTAAATAACATTAGTAAGTACAGTACTTAGGTTTGCTGCTACAAGGAATATCAAAAAGTAGGATTTTTTAGATGTTGCTTGATATGAAATACAAAAATTGACCAACTTTGATTGAAATATTCATAAACAATCAAATTATAGTTGACTTAGTAAGTATCATGGGAATATAATGTTTTTTTTGTTTTCTTTTTCACCATAACCAGACGAACAATGCTATACAAAACAATTTGGAATTAAATTTCGAAATCCTATATTTTGAAGTTTTTCTAGACCTATCAGGAACATACATCGGATCCAATATATGTAAATAGCAAACGTAAGTAGCTTATGTTTTACTAATCAATTATGGAACATGGCTAATACAATCGTTTAGAGAACATAAACTTATGTAATCAACAACGAATGGCTTAAATCCAAGAACTTTGAATTATTTGCATGATTAAAGTAAGATAAAATTTGTATTGCTTATAATGAGAAAATTCCTTTTTAAATAAATTGTATCCCAGCAATAGTCTTTGTAAGGTACATAAACATTTTCTGAAACTAACCGTTTTGATTTTAGCATGGTTAGGGCCCAATTGGATTCGGGCAAAGACAATTTAGAATGAAATATGGTACTTTAATTAACAGCAAAGCCTATATTTCTCAGCCATACCTCCCAGGAATGAATTGATTTGTTTGTGTAATTTATAGCTCTGCTTCCAAGAAGATTTACAGTTTAACCTTAGGCCAAATGTGAGTTTTATGGCGTGATCCGTATATTTTAATTGCTTAGGAAATAAAGAGGGGCAACTTCACTTTAAACATAGCACTCTTGTTTTCTTCTACTTTTTATTTTAAAGTCGGAACGTCAGGGTCCACTAATTAATATAACATAAATAAAAATATGCCTACTCTTTTGTAGAGAAAACAAATTAAGAGTATGTAATGTTCCTCCTTATTAAATATGTCAAATAAATTGTTCCTTTTCCTACAGTTACCTAACAATGTACATGTTCTCTCACTGATTTGAGAAAGCAAAGTGGCCAATTCGCTCATCAGTGAGACAATGTTAACATTGTCTAACTCTAATTACATTGTCTCACTCCAGATTTGCAACGTGAAGGCACGAAATAGTGAGCGCGTGACATGCAGGCAACGTCGTATGCGCGCGAAATACGTTGGCAGCACTGGCTGTAAATCAGCAGGTCAGCTGTTGTACTGTTGTATTTGTCACTTCACATTAAATGTTATATTAAAAGTTCACTTCTGTGTAAAAATAGGTCATGTTTCTTCACCAATTTATTTGTTTTATGGTAACTGTAGGAAAAGTATAATGTGCAACTCGAGTTCAAAGTACAATTGCCTCACTCGAGAAACCATTCCTCACTCGCCTACGGCTCGTGAGTAATGATTTCTCTCGAGTGAGTCAATTGCTCACTTTTCTCACTAGTTGCACAAATAACTATTGGTCGAGACCAATACATTTCATGCTATGAAAATTATCCTTATTCCACCATGAATTGGACATAAAACAGCTGATTATTATCAGATTTAAATTTCGAGTATTAAAACAATTTATAAAATTCATACAGACCGACAGACCTAAAACTAACCATAAGGAACCAAGTTTTGTAGAACAAATGTGTAAGTCTCAACAACCAAACAATTTGCTGAGTAATTTCAATGTTATGCATATAAACAGTCGTAGTACATATAAACAGGTTAAGAGTGTAGAGTTAAACCACTTGAGATTAAGTCATTTAACTTCTAGTAAGTAGCCTACTTGGTGAACTTTTCCTTCAATGATAAAAATTAAATATTTAACTAAAAAACGTTGACTTAAAACGTTGTTTTACGAAATATCTTAGTTTTTATGAGCGTAAATGAGTGTAATAGTATATCATTGTCATACGATAGTTTATATGACAAACGAGTGTGTTTTATCATTTTAAATAGAGAATATTATTCTTGAGTTTTAATCTTGAAATTTTATTGTTCCACGTTAAATAAATTGTACCCTTTTTGTGTGTTTTCTAGATAATATTTGACAAATGAAAAATAAATAACTATTAAAGTGTAAATATATTACCAAAGTTAAAATTTACATTTATAAATTGCAGTTCACATTTGTATACATAGTTAGGTTTAAAATTGAGTACTTTAAACTCATTTTATTAATATCAATTTCAATTATTTAAGATGGGGACGCCACTATGTGCGTATTTTAGATTTTAACCCACATATGAGTGACGCGATCTTGTAGTCTTATTAGTGACTAGGCCGACATATTCCTTAGACACAGCTGTTAATTAATAGCCAAAACAGCTAATGGCAACTAAGGGACCTACAGTTTATAGTGGAATCCGAACCACATTCTTGCCTTGGTATTAACGAATTGGTCTAATTATCAGGATAGTACTGCTGATAGTCGTAGTACCCACTAGTGCGGACGTTAATCCACACCAGGGAGTATTGCATTCGCATCCACAGTGCATCTCTATAAATATATACAATTCATTCAATTAAGTATTCAATTAAGTTGTGTTACTAGTTCTTGGTAGTTTGTTCATTCAGCCTTTCTATTGACGGATACACTTCTTATAGAAGCATAGGGAAACCCTGATCATCTCATCCTCAATTATCATGCGTAAATCTGCCTTGGCTGCAATTTTTTTTAACGACTTTATAAGACCATAAAAGATTAATTATGGTCGTTACTCACTGCTATTAATGAAGGGAAAACAATGAATATCTTATTCTGGAAATATAATCTACAACAAACATAAATGGCCAGTTTACATTTGCTAATTTGCTAATAGGCTTAAGCAATAGTCATTTTCTAATCCCTCAGCAAACTAAAAATTCACACTTATCCTTGTTAGACATTCCATGTTATATTCGCTATCGTAATCAATTAACTGTCCATGTATTTAACGACATAGGTACCGTATTATTTTTGCCGATAATAAAGTAATGCTCAATATTAATTGAATATTATTTGCCGGTCTCGCAAATTATCTGTATACAAGTATTGCGAAGGTCTCTGATTTAATCAATTAAGTAATACAAATTTGTCAAATTTAAGGTAGAAACATATCCGAAGCCAAGCCACTATGCCAATATGGATTTTTCAGCAAGGGAGGGCGGACATGTGGTGCTGGTGGCGAGTTTGTGTACTATAGTTGTCGTGAGTGGCCGCTAGGCAGCAGCAGCGACAGCGACACTCGCAGGGGCCTCTAGGCGATACTCAGAGGTTAGCCCCTTACAGTGTCGTCCGTCCCGGGGTGCGCCCTCAGTGAGGCTAGGAGTCGGCCAGTGTGTCCCAGTGACGTAGACATGTCTCCTGAGTACGGAGTAGTAGCTAGTGAAGTGAGTAGTGTCGGTGAGTAGAGGATCGATCGTCGCAGTACGCAGGTGCGAGTATAGCCGCGGCCGGGCCTAGTGAGGAGTGAGTGTGGGGACCGCGAGCGTGTGTGAGACATGATAGGGGGGACCTCGGGAGTCCAGGAACAATGTCCAGAGACCCTTACGGGGGAGCGCCGCTGAGTGCGGGAGGCAACAGATCTCCGAGGAGTGCGAGACGGCTGGGGGAGCTTCCCACGGTAGACAGGTCGCCGTCGAGGAACTACCCGTCAGCGATCAGTCGAGGCAGTCCGGTCGGTAGGAAGGGGCGAGGGAGTTCGCCGGAGCATGTTCCCTACCAGTCGATGAGTTCCCCGTATTACCGGGAGGAGGAAGCGCAGAGTCCAGTCATGATGGAGGACCGGGGACGTGCCGGGGGGCACCACAGGAGTCGTAGTGCGACGAGGCCCGCGAACAACCCTATGTCGGTGAGGTACCAGTCTCTGGACAGGACGGGGGCAGAGCCCGTCGACCGGGAGTTCATGCCGATCCGCGAGCCTAGAGAGCGGTCGTTGGAACGAACCTCCGCCAGAGATCGTTCCCTGGATAGACAGATGTACCTGGAGGACGATCTGTACACGCGGTCGGCACGTCAGTCCCCCAACACCCACGCTCCAGGGGGATCCTACATAGGGGAGTTGCAACACCAGAACACGGATCTGCAGAGGGAACTGGGTAACCTGAAGAAGGAGTTGGAACTGACCAACCAGAAGCTCGGCTCTAGCATGCACAGCATCAAGACCTTCTGGAGCCCGGAGCTGAAGAAGGAGCGAGCTTTGCGTAAGGAGGAGTCTGCCAAGTATAGCCTCATCAACGACCAGCTCAAACTGCTCAACTCTGAGAATCAGGTAGGAATATCATTTTCCCCACTTTAGTCATACATTTTCTAAAAACATTTAACACATTCGATCCAATAAAACGCAATAGCTATCTACTTCAATATCCCCCAATCGTGGATAAACAATCAAAAAACTGTTAAATAGGATTATTTCCGAATGTAGGTCTGTCAACATCAACATTTATTCCCCCAATATTTCAGAGGCACGCTAGGTACTGATTTTTGAGGTTTCATTTACGGATTTACGCGGTCTCAGTTGAGGTTGACCTACTTGCCACCCCCTCCCCCTACCCCTACTACAGTCACTACCATGAGATCAATGAGTTGCTCCCCTCTTCTTTCCAACCCTAACCCCCCCGCAGGTCCCGTGCCTACACATTGCCCATTTTATTTTTAGCCCAAAAATGAAAAACGTAACATTCCTCCTTTCCGCCTTCAACTTATAAATGTATGCAGCTAAATTTCCCAGGGAATTTTTAGCTTTGTTATCAATTAAAATCAGCTAGCAGAAATTACATTTTAAGTTGGAGGTTATTTGAAGATAAACGCCCAGTTTTGAATGGATGGGATATGTTGGGCGGTTATTTTTGAAATCGGAAATGATTATAATTTTGTTAGCAAACAAATCAAAATATATTGCCATAAAGATTCCAATTTCGTAAAATACTTTATTGAAAAACAAATGCACAGTAATTATATGGATTAGAACAAATAGCTAAACACCTGTTCTATAGTGAAGAAAATGCTTCAATTTAAAGTTTGTAAAAATCTATACCGTTGTAGCCTACTACATGAAATAGTAGTTTTTTACAAATTCCATTCAATAATTTCATTTGTAAATATATTACTATTTGCCAAAAGCAGGTGGATTTGGAAATGTTTTGAAAATAATAATTTATTTAAACAAAATTATCAAACCAAACATGTTTATTACCTTCTTTTTAACAAATATTACTTTATTATTTACTGCATTGATATAAAATTTCCAAAATTACCTTCGCTCTTTTATACTAAATTTTCGTTCTTTTGCATTACCGTACTTCATTTTGATTTTCAATATATTTACAAAATTTTCTTTCTTAAAAACTCGCAACTCATTTTTCTCAATCGCGAGCCCAAAAAACGTTTGGTAACTGAACAAATGAATCGACTACAATTAACTAGTTAACTGTACTGTACAAATATTAAAGCAACTCTGACTGGACAAGAAGGATGATTTAGTATGTCTGACAAAGTAAAGCCTTGGCTGAAAATCATATGTAGACATTCATACTTATGCAAGGTTAAGACACGAGTGACAACCATATTAAAATTTTACTCTACATTTATCTTATTTATGATAAAACTGAATCTATCTATATATTAATAGGCAAGCATGTTTCTTTAAAACCTTTTTTCTCAGCTTGTGTGCATCGCAGGAAAAATCTACGCATACTGTTAGAAAGATATTTTTCTGTAGGTAGGCTCAGAAATAAGCACAAAAAATGGATTTGAAATTTGAAAAAATGAACATGGGCTTTATGGGTTTCCATGCTGGTGACGAAATAACAACGAAATATAAACAGAAAATCAAAACAAATAGTAGAAGTGTCAATCACATGTTTTATTTACAGTATGGGGTGAAAAATAGAGAAGTATGTACAGTGCAATTGGATTTTTTAACAAAAAGCGGTTAAGGTGTGGTGGAATATCTTTGAAGATTAACCTTTTTAGTGCGATCACGTGTACATACGTGTCAATTTTTTACTTGGTCATTCGAGGGTATTTGCTGTGAAATAGAGACGTGATTCCTAATTCCAAATCAACTAAAGGATATATTGTTATTTAATTATTGTCCTCAAATTAAGTTATGGTTACTTAAAAAAATATTTAATATGGGCAAATATTAAAATACAGTATCTTCTTGCAACATTAATGTTGATCATAATATTAATAGAATAATGTAGTTGCTTTGACTGGGATACACATGATAAACTGTTGGGACATAATGATAATTTACGTTTCGTTTGGAAATTCTTATGACCAGACCCACCTTTTAGGGGTTTCAAGTTAGGGGTCAGAATTATAGGCCTATACTCTTGAGCTGACGAGATAAGCCTTTATAGGCTAACGTTTTGAGTTTTGACCCATTTAAATCATAATTAATTAACAGCTAAATTATATTGTTAATAATTCACTTCTGCAATACGTTTACCAAGTACCCAACGGAAGCAAGATTCGAGTTTGGTTTATAAAATGCAGTAGCCAAAATACTGAATGTTATCTAAATCAGACAGTGAACTAAATTAATTTATTTTATCTTAAATGAATCTTCTTTCGTAAGTAATACAACAATTGTCCCTAATTGACAACATGCCAGTTTGTTTGTTTTGATTTAACCTCAAAAATTGATATGTGAACATTGAACACATGATCACACTCACTACAGCTAAAAAGGTACATCCTCAAAGATATTCCAACATACCTCAACCACTATTATCTAAAAAATCCAAAATAGCCTACATATTTTTGGTCGAGTTTCGACCACTGGACGACCACTAGTACAAATTAATTTAGGGAATACAAAATATATTTCAGAATTTATTGGACTGATTGAAAACCAACACAGTTTTATAGAGCTTACCGATATTTCTCTAAACAAATTTACTTAGACGCTATGGAAGAACTTTTAGGTCCCTCTGAACCCAAAACAGTGTTTTAAGTAATCATCCATGTATAATACTGTACGACCAATTTCGATGAAATTTTGTATGTGGGCCGAAATCCATATGATTTAATTTTCTTTTTTAATTTAGTTTTTTAATGGGGGTTGAAAACCATAAAACACCGGTAAAAATAGGCTTTTCACAAAAACGGTTTAAACTATTTTGATTAAATGTAGTGGGTTTTATCCTTTTAAATATTATACAAACCTGTAAAACCATCATTGCTGTCAACATTACTGTTCAAAAGTTATTGTAACTCTTGTAGGTTTCCCCAAACCCATAAAATTACGAAAGAATTGTATAAATAAACTGCGCTACCGATTTTGATTTAACTTTAGTACGTTATAGTCAATTTTAAGTCCAAACAGGTAGAACCCCTAATGCTGTAAAAATTATGGTTCTATAGTTATTGTAACATTTGTAATTTCTCCCATACAATATAACTCCCATCGCTTACCCATTATAAGTTAATGGCAGAAAGTATGTGTTTGTTTGCTGATACCGTTTATTTAGCTGTATAATGCCCTAATCCTGTGGAGCCACCTATAAAATAAATACATGTCCTACAGATGAGTCCACTTTAGAATGGAGAGTCCCCCGACAGTTGATAGGGCTGGTGGTAAAGATACCACAGTGAATACCGACACTGCCGAAAATCACACCGACACTGTACAGTGAAAATCGACACTCAAACCAACGTTTAGAATCCTCGTATATGATCTATATATGATCAAATATATGATCTATATATGATTTTATGATCAAAGGCAATAGGATATCGATATCACTTATAGGCGATTTGACCCCGTTCGTCGCGTAACCTGACACATTTAGTGACAATATCTCGATAACCACCCAAATAAATGTAAATGGTTCATATACACGTTAGCATATGTATGAATAAGTGGCAGTTAAGGTTTTAAGTTACACGATCATGTAAAGTAACGTAAAAATAGTATACATTACATCTTACAACTTTAACAGTCAGAAAACTGTATCAGAAATCTGACACATACTTTCTCCCATTAGCTTAGAAACCCTTATCATGAACAAGCGGTAGGACCCATGTTTTATATTTCCCAAAGAAATTTCCAAAAGCTTTTCCATTTGTTCTGAGTTAATATGACAAATGCTATACAATATATACCGCAATTAAATATTTTACATATTCCAAATCAAATAAAAGTCGTCAATACAAAATCTCTTTAAAAATCGCTCGTTAAATAATGTTTGAATCTGTAAAAAAATGACAAATGTTTAAAACAACACAAATCGTTATAAACAATACATCAAGGGTGCTGTGATGATGATAAGCATTGATAAAAATAACAATATATAGGCTAATCTATGCAAAGCGTTGTTACTGAAAAGTCTAAAAATGTTACGTTTGAACTTGTGATTGTTAGAATACTTTTTTGAATTGACTATTTAAAACCTTGTACATTTTGATCTTATAGAAGACAATAAAAAAATAAATAAAAAATAAACTACTTACTGTTTATTTGCTTTATCTTTGCTCATGAACAGATTTTACATGAACCTTTTGATGTATACAATCTATTAGCTTCATGTAAGTGCATGCACCCTTTTGTTTAACTTTTGAATATTTTTAATATTTCACCGAGCAAATGCTTGCAATGTAATAACAGTAAAACTGATTAAACTTTTCAATTTGCTTGGTAATTCTTTTCTGCAATAAAATTAGATCTAAACACAATAAGAAGATCTCCAATCCAATCAGTTGAAAGATCGGTAAAGTTTCGCTAAGCCACGGTCTGGCCGGGAAATCAATATTGTGGGAGGAGTAAGCCCAAGCTCAGTAACGTTGTACAAATAACTACACTGGTAAATCGCGAATCTAAACCATAGACATCGTGATAAAAGTTATTCTTAGAAAGAAAACACAGCGTAATATAATAATGATGGACAAATAAGGTGTTCTTACTAAAATAATCGGTACTTTCCTGTTAAAGAAAACATTCATTATCGATGACTTTTTTTCGATACATAGATTTTTTAATTTTCCTCTACGATCCATATTAATTCTCGAAAAATTTAAAATTAAAATGACAACTGATCTAGGCAAAAATAATACATACAAAATTGAACTGTTCTAATCTAACCTAACATAACCAAACTTGCTGTGCCATTTCAAAATTTCGTTTGATAACAGAAAAGGCATGGGGAATATCAAACGGAATTTTAAAATGGTAACTTACAGCAATTTTGGTTAGTTAGGTAAGTTTTTAATGGTTTCATTTCAATAAAACTTTTCTCAATTGTTTATACTGAACAAATTCGTCAA